CGGAAAGGGGGGTGATGGCTCTAAGGGGAGCGGGCAATCATCATGTGCGATGGTGAAGCCCGTTGTGGAGCAGACTCCTCTCGTTGTGCTAGAGCCTGAGGGCGGGGAGGCCTTACAGGCTGTTGCAGCTGCTGTGAAGGCGAACCCGAGCGTCGTGCTGCTTGATAGCGGATGCTCCCACCATCTCATGGGAGATCGTTCTGCCTTTGTGGAGATGAGCAGCGGCGGCAGTATTAAACAGGTTACTGGCTTCAACGGCGCGCTTCAGGAGGTGCAGGGGCGGGGCACAGTTGCTCTTCTTGGAGAGGGGGGCAGGCGTGTCTTGGTGCCGGACGTGCTGTACGTACCAGGAGTGCAGGCGAGTCTTCTCTCTGCTGGGCAGCTGCGTGAATGTGGTGTGCAGCTGCTGGATGCCGGGGATGTGACTTTGCTGCGAGCACCAGATGGATCGCTTCTTGGTCGTGCGGAGTTCAAGGGGCGTGTTCTCTGCACGAACTTCCAGCCGTGTTCGACGCAGCAGCAGGAAGGCGAAACGGTGGCACTCCGTACCTTGGCGACGGGCGTGCGGTCTAAGGGGGACCTGTGGCATGCGCGTATGGCACACGTTGGTATTGATGCCATCGAGCGCACAGCGGCTCACGGGTCAGTAAAGGGCTTGGATTTGGAGAAGGGGGGCAAGTCAGGCATACCTTGTGTTTCCTGTGTTGGGGGAAAGATCACTCGTCATACCTTTCCTTCTGTGGGAGAGGAGGAGGATGAGTTGCTCGGGGTGGTGTATGCTGACCTGTGTGGCCCTTTCCGTGAAGCAGCTAAGGACGGCAGCCGCTACTTCTTGGTGCTGAAGGATCGAAAGACGCGATATGTCTGGGCCTACCCTTTGGCCCGGAAGAGTGATGCGCTGGCGGCGTTCCAGAAGTGGCTCCCGATGGCAGAGCGACAGTGCAAGACCACGGTGCAGGCCCTGCGCACTGATCGGGGTGGCGAGTTCCTGGGGCACGACTTCACTCTCTTCCTCGACGGTAAAGGCATCATCCATGACCTCACATGCCCGTACACGCCGGAGCAGAACGGGATGGCCGAGAGGGAGATGCGCAGCATTGTGGAGGCGGTGCGGACGATGTTGCTGCACATGGGTGTGCAGCATCACTGGTGGCACCTGGCGTTGGCTCAGGCCGTCTGGGTGCGCAACCGCGTGGAGCACGCCTCACTACCCTCTGGTGTGACGCCGTACGAGCTCGCCTTCCGACGCAAACCTGATGTCAGTATGGTGCGTGTTTGGGGCTGCATGCTGCAGTACATGATACCACGGTCGCAGCGTGGGGGGAAGCTGGCGCCTAAGGCTCGCTGGGGGTTGCACTTGGGTGTGTCAGCTGCGAGCAAAGGCTGGACCGTGCTGGACTTGGAGTCCAACCGCCTCATCACCACTGTGGAAACTGTGTTCTATGAGACCATGTCCCTAGCAGGATGGAAAGCTTGGCATCAGCAGGAGCATGGGGGGCGTTCGATGCCCTATGAGCCCCTTCCCTCACTCTTCCCGATCACTCTCGAGGAGGCGGAGGAGGAGGAGGAGGTGGTCGCACCTCCTGCTATGCCCTATGTCCCTACCTCGGTCCCCACCCCACCTCCGCCTTCAGTCTACCCTCGTGTGATTCCCCCTGTCCCGCCTTCTTCCTCCTCACCCCCCTTGCCTTCCCCTCCTCCTCCTGTTATTCCATCCCCCCTTTCACCCTCCATCCCTCCTGCACCTGCTCCGCCCTCCTCTTCGTCTTCCACGGCGCCGCCCGTTGGTGGGGGGGGGATGGAGGTGCCACCGTCTGTGGAGATCACCGACGGGCAGCGCCTTGAGACTGAGCAGCTGCAGGACGAGAGCAGTATGGATGGAGTACAGCAGACAGGGGAGCAGCAGATTGGGGAGCAGCAGACAGGGGAGGAGCGGATTGAGGAGCAGCAGATGGTGGACCAGCAGCTAGGGGAGCAGCAGACAGGGGAGCCGCAGACAGGGGAGCAGGAGATGTGGGGAATTAGAGATGGTGGTCGTGTGTTGGTTTCTGGGACGACCACTGCACCTGTGCGTCGCTCCACTCGCATCACTCGTGGTGTCCCGCCTGTTCGATACGCTTGGGCTGTAGTGGTTGAGCCAGCGGGCTTGGATGACGAGGAGGAGGACGAGGAGTGGACTGACCTGGACCCGGACGTTGCAGCTGATCCTGAGAGGCAGTGGGACATAGCGAAAATGACAGTGAAGGAGGCCTTGGGCTGCTGGAAGGGCGACAAGGTGAAGGAGGCGATGGATGAAGAGATGCGGAGCTTGATTGAGCAGGGGACGTGGGAGTTGGTTCCGCGTCCGCCAGGGGTGAATGTGATGAAGAACCGATGGATTTTGAACACCAAGTTCCGACCTGATGGGATAGTGGAGCGTGAGAAGGCGAGGCTGGTGGTGAAGGGGTTCACGCAGGTGGCAGGGGTGGACTATGAGGAGACGTACGCCCCTGTGGGAAGCTATGTGACGGCGCGTGTGCTTCTGGCGATTGCAGCTGCACTTGATTTGGACCTGATGCAGCTCGATGTAAAGAATGCGTTCCTCCATGGCGTGTTGGACCGAGACCTTTATATGGAGCAGCCGAGCTACTACGAGGATGGGACTCCTCGTGTCTGTAAGTTGGTGAAAAGTCTGTATGGGCTCAAGCAGAGCCCGATGCTATGGTATGAGGCCTTGGATGGGGTGCTGCTTGGGGCTGGATGGAAGAAGAGCAAGGTGGATGAGGCTCTGTACTTCAAAACTGATGCTGATGGGGAGATGTGCTGGCTGCTGGTGTATGTGGATGACCTGCTTGCTGCCAGCCGCAGTCAGAGCATGCTTGAGGAGCTGCGTGAGCTGCTGCAGAGTGCGTTTCAGCTGCGGGAGATTAGCCCTGTGGAGAAGTATCTGGGGTTGCAGCTGATTCGGGACAGGCCTACGAGGAGGCTGTGGCTGCACCAGGGGGCCTATGTGGACAAGGTTCATAGGCGCTTCTTTGACGGGGAGCAGCCGCTGCGAGTGCCTCGCACCCCTCTTTCCTCTGACCCTTTCAGTGTGCAGACCTTTGAGGATGTGGGATGGCAGTCTCGCCAGGAGGAGGAGTACAGGCAGAAGGTGGGATCCTTGCAGTTTGCGGCCTGTACCACCCGTCCCGACATCTCGTTCGCCTGCAGCAAGCTGGGGTCGGGCCAGACTGTGCGGAGTGATCAGCACTGGAAGGAGTTGGACCGGTGCTTGACGTACTTGGTGGGGAGCAGGGATGTGGCGCTGGAGTTTGGTGGTGGGCCGGAGTCCTTGGAGCTGGTGGGCTACGCCGATGCTGATGATGCTGGGGACAAGCAGAACAGGACCAGCACAGGTGGCTATGTCTTTGTGCTCGGGGGTGCTGCTGTCTCATGGGCAAGCCAGAGGATTCGTTGCGCCACCCTCTCCTCCACTGAGTCTGAGTATGTTGCTGCTGTGGAGGCTGGGAAGGAGGCGCGCAGGCTGCGCTTCCTGCTGGCAGAGTTTCAACTGCTGAGGAGTGAGGAACCCACTACTCTCTTTGTGGACAACTCCTCCGCCATTTCAGTGGCAGGTGGCATGGGGCTCAAGGGGAGCCTAAAGCACATGGAGCGTCGCCACATGTGGCTGCAGCACATGGTCAAGCGCAGGAAGCTGCAGTTGCAGTACATCCCTACGAGCGAGCAGCCTGCTGACTACCTCACGAAGGCATTGCATTTCCCCGCCTTCAGTCGTTGCTTCGAGGCTGTGGGGCAGGTGAGGCTTTCGAGTGAGGGGGGTGAGACCTAAACACTCCATGATGTGGATGGTGCCATGGCCTATCCATGGCTGGTGCGGTGCGTGTTTGCACTTTGAGAGTGCTTCGTTTGTGTGTGTCTCCCTTTGTTTTGGCGTGTACGTGTGTATGCATGCCCTGTGATTATAAAGGGCCTTGCTGTAGTATGGCAGGGGAGTGTTAGAGGGCCCTACAACAGCAAGGGCCCTCGATGACCTTTGACTTGGCAGGTCGACGCCTAGCAACTGAGTCTACTCGGCACCGACGAATGAGTTCGATGGAGGTCGCATGAAGAAGCGAGAGTCCGTGGGAGTCGTTGGTGCTTCCTTGAGAGTCGCACCACTCCTTGCTGTGTTGGTGGAGTGGTGTGCACGGAAGCGAGAAGTCGATGCTGAGTTGGGTTGGGAAATTGGCGAGGCGCGTTCGCTCACCCACACACCACTTTCGTGGGGTTGGGTTACTCGCAGCGCCCACGCAACCTCTTGTGAAACCCTCGCCTGCCTATATATGTTTGTGTTGCTTGTGTGTTTGATATATATTTTCTATGTTCCTAGTGAAGTCCAAAATGCTACTTCAATTCTCACCAAGTCCTTAGAGGCAAATGCTACCGAAACTCTACCAAGTTGCTGGCGCAACATCATTCCCATAGCAGAAACTCTCTCGTTATCGCTACGCTCTCTAATAGATTCCTTCACTAGCTTCAGTGCCTCCCTCCTTCGCCATTTCTTCCGTTCTCGCGCGTCCCTCTTCCTTCCTACGTTCCTCCCTTCCATCGCCATTACAACTCTCAGCTTCTTCGCTCGGTACAGCTTCTAGGCGTAGTTGTAACACCTTGCCCCTTCGCTGGGAATAGTTAAGCACCCTAAGGAGGCACGGTTACGATTAAAAGATAACTAAACATGCGGCCCACTGTTCCGACATGTCATGTCGTCTTGAGTCCCGTTCCGTACAGGTGTCGTTTCTGGTCCCACCTCGCCCATCCTGCCCCTTTTATGTACCGAGAGAGTAATGTGTCACCTCCTGTGTCTTGCCCCGTGTCTTGTTCCGTGTCACCTCCACTCCCCATGTTACTGGGCGGCGAAAAGAAGGAAGAATCTGAAACATCTGAGCTTCGCATTCCACCCGTTCAGGACAGCACTACCTCGGTGCCCCTCTCATTCGCTCCTCCACTCCCCTTCTCCTTCAGTGTCAACGCCTCTAAACTCAGGAAGAACCACCCACACTCACCTGCAAGCCTTCGTATTCCGCCTTGGGTCGTTTCAGCTCGCCCTGCTTCTCCACCAGTCGGCTCTGCACCTCTACACATCGTTCGCCTCTGTGCCCCTCCCATCCAGCCTCATAGCGACCTGCACCGCACAGAACCCACCTGTAAGGCTTCATACTCCGCTTTCAGCCGTTTCAGCTCTCCCTGCTTCTCCACCAGTCCGCTCTGCACCTCCATCACATCACCACTGCCTCTGTGCCCCTCCCATCCAGACTCATACCAACCTGTACCGCACAGAACCCACCTTCAAGGCTTCATATTCGGCTTTCAGCTGTTTCAGCTCGCCCTGCTTCTCCACCAGTCGGCTCTGCAGCTCCATCACGTCGTCCGCCTCTGTGCCCCTCCCCCCCGCGCCTCCCCTTCCGCCCCTTCCCCCTCCTCCCCCCTGTTGCCCCTCGTTGCCTTGATCGCCCAGCTTGCTTGCTTCAACCCCTGCCAAGGCAAGCAAGGGAGGGAGGGGAGTGCGGATGAGGGGAGAAGGGCAGGAGCCAAGAGGAAGGGTGACCCATCAGTTGAAACCCCCTTCCCCCTCCCCCCTGCTGCCCCTCGCTGCCCGCATCGCCCTGCTTGCTAGCTTCAACCCCTGCCAAGGCGAGCAACGGAGGGAAGGGCACAAAGGAAGGTGATGAAGCATAATGCGCAAGTCTACCTCGCCACTGGTCGACCCTCCCTCCTCTTGTTGCCCCTCACTGCTCTGATCCCCCAGCTTGCTTGCTTCAACCCCTGCCAAGGCGAGCAAGGGAGGGACCGTTGAGAATGAAAGGTGATTGAACCACTACCTACCTGACAGAAAACCTGCGAACCACTCTTGAAGCTCCTTCAGATGCTACTTACACAGGAAAAGACGTCCCAACATCCCCCCAACCCCCCCCCCCCCCCCCCCTCTCCTCCCCCTTCTCTCGCCCAACGGTGATACCTAACCCACTACGCACTCTCAACAGCATGCACACCTCTTCAGCACACTCCACACCTGCGAACCATTCTTGGAGCTCCTTCAGCTGCTCCCTACACTGGGCACACGTCCAACGCGCTCCCCCATCTGCACTCTTGAGTGTCCTGCCACAGCACAAGGGGGTGAGATGGGAGAGGAGCAACGGATGGATACTCCTGCAGGCGACTCACACGTCCCACATGCCCCCCCCCCCCCCCCCATCCTCTGCACTCTTGAGAGATCTGCAGAGCACAAGGGGGTGGGATGGGAGAGGAGCAAGAGAACATATGCAAGGGAGAAGATACTCTCTCTATCGACTCACACGTCCCCCGTGCCCCCCCCCCCCTCTGCACTCTTGAGGGATCTGCGGAACACAAGGGGGTGGGATGGGAGAGGAGAGAAGCAAGGGGGTTGGATGAGGATACTCGTGCAGGCAACTCACACGTCCCACATGCCCCCACCCCCCCCCCCCCCCCCCCCTGCACTCTTGAGGGATCTGGGAGACACGAGGGAGTGTGATGGTAGAGGAGCAACGGGGTTGGATGAGGATGCTCCCTACACTGCGACTCACACGTCGTCATGCCCCCCCCCTTGCCCTCCTCTGCAACCTTGAGAGATCTAAGGGACACGAGTGGGTGGGATGGGAGAGGAGAGGAGCAACGGGGTTAGATGAGGATGCTCCTGCAGGCGACTCACACGTCCCACGCGCCCCTCCCTCTGCACTCTTGAGAGATCTGCGGAGCACGAGGGAACGGGATGGGAGTGAAAACAAAGAGAATACTCAGTCGACTCACTTATGCTCTCCCCTCTCACGCTGCACTCTTGAGAAATTTGCAGAGCACAACCGGGTGCGATGGATATCCAAAGGAAATCGGTACAATTTCATATGATTTCTCGCACTCTCCCCCTCTCCCTCTGCAGTAACGACGCACTGCTGCCGCTGGCCCTCCGCCTCTGGTCAAACCCCACGGCAGAAGCGGAAATTCACAATAACGAAGCAGTTGGGAGTCGGAAGTTTATACCGAGGACAAGAATGAATCCCGTTACCGTTTAGCGCTAGATTCCTGCTGTAACGAGGCGCTGCTGCCGCTACCTCTCCGTCTCTGATCCAAACCCACGGCAGACGCGGAAACCGACAGTCCAGAAGCTGCTGCTGACGCTACCCCATGACCTTCAATCGGTCCGAACGAATGCGCTGCGGCTGTTGTTGCTGCTGCTGCTTCTGCTGTTGACAATGAGAGAATCGCGAAAAGTACCTGAGCTATACTACCGAAGATGAATAATAACGAGGATCGGGTGGTCAATGGAGGCATTTTGTGTCGAGACAGCCGTATCATAATATCAAGTCGGCCACTTTGTAGCCGTTGCTAGGATTTCACTTCGCAGACAGCCGCCAGCAGCCGAGTCGCCTATTGATTTCACGCAACCCTCATGCGTCACCGCGCCTCGCTGATAGAACACCAGAGTTGCGGCTTCAGCTATGAGTTCTGAGTTTCAACGCGAGGTACTAGGTAAGGACGTCGTAGTCCATCCTGTTTGGGTTACATGTGTTTCTGTGTATGACCCGTTATTGCAAGTGCCAGGGGTCGGCGTTGCTAACTTACGGTATATTTATATATTCTTATCATGTGGACCTCAGATTCTTTTGTTTCTCCCTCCAACCTATCCTGCTACAAACATCAAAGCCTTATTCCTGCTCTCATTTTGTCTATGTAGAACTCACAGCAAACCATTGATAATTTGTTCAAGAGGGTGACATTCTATACTAGAACTCTGCATGAGAGGGAGCATCGACAACAATGTTTTGCAAGCACGATCAGGGAACTAAGGGCTGGAGGAAACAAATGTCGCCGTGTCGTTGCGCAGCCATCAGCTGACGTTTGGAATGGAAGCAAGATTTGCTGAATAGTTTCTAATTAAAATGCTCTCAGCCCAGAAATAGAAGGTCCTGCTTTCACAGGTCTCTTCCTCGCTTTCCCACATAGTGCATGGTTGTTATTTGGATGAGCCACAACCATATAAAGCCTGGACAATATATCACTAGACTGTTGAATCACTTCCAGCACCTGGGATTTTGTCCATGGGCCGACATGCGCGGAGGCAGCAAAGCTGTAGCGCTTAAACAAACCACTCCAGCTGCGTGTGATGTTCTTCCAAGGTATGGTGTATATTTTCTTCGGGTATTTGACAGCAATGCATGAAGGACCAACCATAAGGTAGGGTTGAACCCCTCCTGATCGGATGTTGTCTGCACGTACCTTCACCACTAAGTAATATTTTGAAGCAGAGGACCTGCCGCCCATCATGGAAGAATGGTAGAGGCAGGAAATGATACTCTCACACATTATGTCGAGGTTCTTCACTGACTCTTTGGTCCAGGATCAGGAGAAAACAGAATAGTCACACAATATTTTACCGATGAAGCATTAAATGTCAAATGAATGCAAATGCAAGAAGAGCTACACCAGACTGAATATCAGAAGCAAGAACAGAAGCTTCACTTACTCTACTCCCTTGAACGAGTATTTCCCCGTTGCTGCCAGGTCACCAACAACCTTTCCATGGCTGCGGGGGGGTCTCAGCTTGGCCACATAGCGCACTGAAGATGGAATCGGGTGGAAGGCAAGAACGATGGTAAAAAGGACTACCGCTCCAACGCAGCTGGGTGCGTTGTAGTGAATGCGTTATAGTGGAGCGTAATAGTGGAGCGTTATAATACGTGTTACCCCCGCGGAGCACAATCTAGCAGTAGACCAGCTTTTCCATACATGATACCTAGAAGAAAAATCAGGCGGAGAATTGACTGAAGCATTCTCGTGCTTGGGCTGATTGGAAGCACTCACAGAACACTTTTCCCTTAGGAACAGTCGCGCTCTGTGTGGACGGCGCGACAGGGAGCGCGCCTGGAGGGGACGACTCATCAGAAGCTGCAAGGGACGAGAGTAAGACGGACTCCGGGAATGACGAGAGTAAGAGAGGCGCTGGGAGCGACGGTGCGGCAGACGCTGGGTGTGGCGGTGCGGCAGACGCTGCTGCACCGGCGGTTGTGAGGAAAGTTACCAAGACACCTGCACACGGAGGCACAGGGCAGGTCTCGTAAGAATCACGCCGCGTTTTGAACAGCAGAGACATAAAAGCATTTGCGAAGGGGCGGAATATGTAGGTGCTCACGGATTAATAGATAGCAATACGTAGTGCGCTCCATCATGATAAAGATGGGAAGAAGACGCGCAACAATAGATACTAACAAAAGAAGATAGGTTCGATGGAAAATGATCAAGAAGGGGACTGAAAGCCACCATCGAATAAACGTCACGGTATCGGCCAGTCAGGGCAAGATTCTACGTACAACGCAGCTTCGGCGATTCTTGGACGGAACATCGTCGCCGCATACACGCACCATGCGCTGGTTCAAATCAAACGTGTCGTGTTGTGTGCACTCAGAAGGGCAGACAAGTCGCTTGGCTTTGTGTGGCGTTGCATTGCTGGATTCCGAGTGCACCATAGCCCGCACACGAGGCCGTGCGTAGAGTTCTTCCTTCATTCCTCCAACAGATGTGAGGTGAAATGGCAGAGCTGGGGGGGGGGGGAGGGATGGAAAAACGTTTGCTGGTGTGGTGTCATGGCGAACAGCGCTGGCGAGATGAGCTGGCGAAGTGCAGAAGAGAGGCAGGTGTGGCGAGGGTGGTTGGGCTTTCGCGAAACGCTGGCGACGACTTTCGTCCATAGGTCTGTGCCTGCTCAGGATCGGGCCTTGTTCAAGTATCACTGCGCAGACGGTGAGTAGCGGTTCAAAGCGGTGATTTAAACCTACAAAACCTTTTACAGCGTACACTGCACCGAAAATGAACACCCGCCCTGAAACCTAGAAAGTTAGTAAACACCGCCTCATTGACGAACTCAGGCAATGGCCTTCCATCCATGGCTTAATCGAAAATAGAACGCGATTAGTCACGCACAGCATTGCTGCACGCTAATGCGTTTAGGACCTACAATTCTCCCACGCTGAAACTCGCGTTTAGGGTAGAGCTCGCAGTAGTAGCGTTAGATTAGGTTCTAATATTTTAGAGTACCTTGGTTCCGTCGATCTTGTCAGCCGTCCACATGGCGGCATCTGTTCTTCCATACGCGAGACCGCGTTTCGACCAAAGTCACACGCCGCGGCTAGCTAACGATCGCATTCCGAAACTGAGGAGACAAGCAAACAACTTTTTTGCAATGAAGACGTTACCTTGGTACCTGCCGCTGAGTACGCGATGAAGGTCCTCCTTTATTGTTTTTAAATTGTTCTTCTTTACAAGTAATGTATTCACATGTGTTCATCATCGCTAGCTTCAGTGCCTCCCTCCTTCGCCATTTCTTCCGTTCTCGCGCGTCCCTCTTCCTTCCTGCGTTCCTCCCCTCCATGGCCGTTACAACTCTCAGCTTCTTCGCTCGGTACAGCTTCTAGGCGTAGTTGTAACACCTTGCCCCTTCGCTGGGAATAGTTAAGCACCCTAAGGAGGCACAGTTACGATTAAAAAATAACTAGACACGCGGCCCACTGTTCCGACATGTCATGTCGTCTTAAGTCCTGTTCCGTACAGGTGTCATTTCTAGTCCCACCTCACCCATCCTGCCCCTTTGATGTACCGAGAGAGTAATGTGTCACCTCCTGTGTCTTGCCCCGTGTCATGTTCCGTGTCGCTACCACTCCCCAGGTTGCTGGGCGGCGACAAGAAGGAAGAAGCCGAACGATCGTCCCGAGGCAGCAGAGGAGGCCCGGAGAGTGACGATGACTATGAAGACACTCCTGAGCGGAACGAGGGGGGAGAGGATGAAGTGAGCTTTGCATTCCACCCGTTCGGGGGCACAGAGGCGGACGACGTGATGGCAAGAGTGATGGCGTGATGGAGGTGCTGCAGAGTGAGTGAGTGTGGCTTGCAGAGCAGGTCGCTGTGAGGTTGTATGGGAGGGGAGGGGAAGAGAGGCAGTGGTGACGTGTTGGAGCGGCAGAGCCGACTGGTGGAGAAGCAGGGCGAGCTGAAACGGCTGAAAGCGGAGTTTGAAGCCTTACAGGTGGGTTCTGTGCGGTGCAGGTCGCTATGAGGCTGAATGGGAGGAGCACAGAGGCGGACGATGCGATGGAGCTGCAGAGCCAACTGGTGGAGAAGCAGGGCGAGCTGAAACGACCCAAGGCGGAATACGAAGGCTTGCAGGTGAGTGTGGGTGGTTCTTCCTGAGTTTAGAGGCGTTGACACTGAAGGAGAAGGGGAGTGGAGGAGCGAATGAGAGGGGCACAGAAGCAGTGCTGTCCCCCTCCCGCCTTCTCCCCTTCCGCCCCTTCCCCCTACCCCCTCCTCTCACTGCCCTGATCCTTTAGCTTGCTTGCTTCAACCCCTGGCAAGGCGAGCAAGGGAGAGAAGAAGTGCAAATGAGGGGAGTGCGGATGAAGGGGGCAGGGCAGGGGGAAAGGTGATACATCAGTCGACCCTCCCTCCTCTTGCTGCACCTCGCTGCCCTGATCCTCTAGCTTGCTTGCTTCAACCCCTGGCAAGGTGAGCAACGTGTAATGAGGTTATGTTTGAGACGTCTCAAAAACAACCCCTGCCAAGGCGAGCAAGGGAGAGAAGAAGTGCAAATTAGGGGAGTGCGGATGAGGGGAGTGGAGATGATACAAGGGGAGGGGATACGCGAAGGAGCCAGGAGCGAAGGTGATACATCACTCGACCCTCCCTCCCCCGTGCTGCTCCCCTCACTGCCCTGATCGCCCAGCTTGCTTGCTTCAACCCATGGCCAGGGCCAAGGTGAGCAAGGCGGGGAGGGAGCACAGATGAGGGGAGACAGGCACGAGGAAAGGTGATACACCTGGTTGTGCGAGTCCCCCATTGTCCACCCAGCCGGCCTCGCCGTCGCTGCCCTGCTGCCTTTTGAATTGACTCATAGGTTACACCTGGTTGTGCGAGTCCCATTGTCCACCCAGCAGGCCTCCCCGTCGCTGCCCTGCTGCCCCTTGCTGCCCTGATCGCCCAGCTTACTTGCTTCAACCCCTGGCAATATGAAGGGGGGAGGGAGTCCAGGGGAGCAAAGGTGATGCACCACGAATTGCTTGCACCACTACTTCACAGCACTCCTGCGAACCACTTGTGAAGCTCATCAACCTGTTCTGCACACTGGGAACACGCCCCACCGACCCCCTTCATCCCCCCCCCCCCACCCCCCTCCCGCCTCAACAGTGATATTTAACTGCACTACATACTCGCAACGGCATGCACACCTCGTCGCCGCACTGCACACCTGCGAACCATTCTTCAAGCTCCTTCAGCTGCTCCCTACACTGGGCACAAGTCCCCCACGCCGCTCGGCCTCCGTCTCTCTTCGAATCCCAAGGCAGAAGTGGAAATAGTCAGTCCACGACCAGCTGCTGGTGTCGCGACGATAGGGATCTAAATTAATCCGAACGAATGCACTGTGGCTGCTGAGTCCTGACTTCCGAGGCGCCTCAAAAGACAGTCCACCCCCAGCTGCTGCTGACGCGACACCAGGGACCTCAATCGGTCCGAACGAATGGGTTGTGGTGGCTGTTGCTGTCGCAGGTCCATCCCAATTGGGTTTCATGTGTTTCTGTTTATGCCCCGTTATTGCAAGTGCCAGGGGTCGGCGCAGCTAGATTACGAATTATTTTTATATATTCGTAATGTGCAGCAAGCTATATGTAACCTCTAGTCAGATATTCTGTTTCTCCCCCCCAACTAGTCAGATATTCCGACTTATATATATCAATATCTTCTGTTTCTCCCCCCCAACTAGTCAGATATTCCAACTTACATATATCAATATCTTTTGTTTCTCCCCCCCAACTACGGTAGTCAAATATTCCAACTATTCCAACTCATTCTTGGGATGTTGTAAGGAATTTTCTCGGCATTCCTTACGGAGCCCGACTACATCGCGTACAGCAACGGCCGTTGTTCGCCTGCTACTGCTAACGGGGCTTCGCCGACTTCGCGCACACTGTTTTCACCAAAAACTCGCACTGCTGACATGGCCATGTCGGCCTACGCTTCGGGACTAGCCCGAGCCTCGCTCCAGCGTAGCACTAGCTAGCTCGCACGCACCGTGTTACCGTTCGCATGTTTCACGTATAAATGTTCGTTCATGCCTTCGCTCACATTTTGTACTCGTTTGACACCTTAGTGCAATTCTCGCTACTTCAATTCATTGCACCCGTAACACTTGGTATCAGAGCCCCTTTCTTTCGGACCGCGCATCTCCGCACCTCAGGAAATCAACTTTTGATTTCTCACTCGAAGGGACTCACGTACCTTAGCACCTAGGAGCCGCTGTCCTCGCGTTCTCTCGTAAACGCGTGCAGCCACGACTGCGCCTAGACTAAGACGAGCCGACGCCCTTTGAAATGGCTGAACATATCGACGTCACGACTCTCACGCAGGAGCACTTGAACGATCTGCTGCGACAAATCCGCGAGAGCGCCGAGGAAATTGCGATGCTGACGGCAGAACGCTCGGCCCTGCAAAACGACCTCACACGAGCACAATCCCAAGCACCTGGCACTCCGATTCAGCCCGCACCATAGACATCACAGCACGGAAGTGTGGGGCAACCCGCGAGCGTCGCAAGTGATGGCGTCGTCCGCCATGACGGAGACGACGACCACGGCACGACACACCCCGACACGACGAATGCGGCCAGGACTCAACCTCGAGTCACGATTTCAGTGCCAGCCGGCGAATCAACCCTTCCGTCGCCGATGCCGCTAAAGCCGCAGCGTCCGCCATGCTTTGACCCAAGTCAACGGGGTGGTCCTACCGTTCAGGCGTGGCTCTTCACGTTGAACGTCTTCTTCGACGCGAACTACGTCTCGGAGGATACGGCGAAAATTCGCTATGCCGTGTCGTTGCTGCGTGGACCCGTCATGGATTGGTGGCGCGTCATCGTCACGAAGCCGGTGGACTACGCGACTCTACCGACACGGGAAGGACAAACCGGACCCTGGGCGCCGTCGTATTTCGTGGAGGTGCCTCAGTATCGCACGTGGGACGCGTGGTGCGCAGGTTTACGCGCTCGTTTCGAGCCAATCGCGGCTTCGATCGCGACGCGACAGAAGCTCCGCACTTGGCGCCAACTCGGTTCCGTCCAAGACTATAGGAGCGGATTTCTGGCGCTATGCGAGCAGGTGGGATATATGCACGACAGCGAGCGCATCGACCGCTACATCGGCGGCCTGAAGCAGGACATCGCTCACGAAATCCAGCTTCGCGGCGTCACTGACTTTCAAGAAATTCTCGCTATGGCGGAGAAACTCGATTTCTTCCGCCGACTGAGACCGGGGTCCTACGGAAGCAGCCATTGGGGACATCGGCCTTGTGGGACGAACGAGGGCGCCACGATACGTGCCGTCGCCGCAAACGCCGCTGCCGCACCGTTCAAAGGGCGCTGCTTTGCGTGCTATCGGCCGGGACATCGCAAGAGCGAATGCGCGGAAAACGCGCATTGGGGGAAGCTGAGCAGCAGAAACAGACCAAGCAGCAGGGAAACGTTGGGAGTCAGTAGCAGACGGGCCCTTTACCGACAGGTCACGCCGCTCGCCCGACCCAACCGACCCTCACCGAGTGATTGTGCCGGTTCACGCAATCGACCACACTCGGCCGAATAAGGAGGGGACCACGGTAGACAGCCCCATACTGCTTAGTGGGAAAATCGGGACGGACTTAGTTAAAATCTTCGTAGACAGAGGAGCCAGCCACAGCCTCATCAACACTGCTACAGCACGAAAACTGCGACTGCCACTAGACAAATGTTTACCTGAGATCGACGCACGACTGGTAGACAGCACGCCGCTGGCGATACGGGAACGCGTAGACCGGGTTCGGATTCGATATGGGGGTAACTTCACGTTTAGCCAGGAAATGCTCGCAACGACCCTCGATGGAACCGATATTTTACTCGGGTGTGATTGGATGCGACGACACAACCTGCGAATCGACTGGGCGATGGGTGACTGCACTGTGCGAGTGAACGGTAACAACATCGCCTTACCTCGCTGGGGCTCACCTAAGTCTTCGTCAGTGCGTGTCAATGCGATCACGATGAAACGCGCCGTAGCGGCAGGAGCTGATGTGTGCGCGGTCGACATTCGGGAAGCCTAGGCAGCAGACAAAGGAGGGGATTTACGGAAACTGTTGGCCGACGTACCGAGTGACCTGGCAGCACTGTTGAAGTAGTACAGCGACATTTTCCTGGACGATTTACCAATGGGACTGCCACCTCAGCGACCGCACGACCACATGATAGAGTTAGAACCGGGGGCACAACCAACAGTACAGAGACAGTTCCGACTGACCCAGCCCGAACTGGACGAACTCAGGAAGTAGCTCGATTACTTGCTCGCAAAGAAATTCATCCGCCCTAGTTCGTCGCCCTTCGCAGCACCGATACTGTTCATATAGAAAAAAGACGGGGGATTTCGCATGTGCATTGATTACAGAGCACTGAACACAGTTACCATCAAATCCCGTTACCCCATCCCGCGAGCCGACGAACTGATCGACCAACTGCGCACAACCCGGGTTTTCTCAAAAATCGACCTCCGAGGGGGTTACCTCCAGATTCGCGTCAACCCGCCCGACTGCCCTAAGACCGCATTCCGCACACGCTACGGATCCTTCGAATACACAGTCATGCCTTTCGGACTGACCAACGCCCCCGCCACTTTTCAAATGATCATGAACAAAGCTTTCTGCCCGCTCTTAGATAAGTGCGTCATAGTATACCTGAACGACATACTGATTTACAGCCCTGACAGAGCACAACACTTACGGGACATCGACGCAGTTTTTAAAATCCTGAGTGAGAACCGCCTACTGACCAAAGTGTCTAAGTGTGAGTTTCTACAGGACCGCCTGGAATTTTTGGGACACGTTATTTCAGCTACAGGAGTGGAAATAGACCCGAAGAAAATTGCGACGATTCAAGCATGGCACGCGCCGACCAACTTGACCGAGTTGCTGAGTTTTTTGGGGTTTGTCAACTACGTGCGCCGGTTCGTCCCCGACATGGCGCAGCTGACCGCCCCGTTGACTGACCTGCTGAGGAAGGGGGTTGAGTACACGTGGGGGGAGAAAGAGCAAGCTGCCTTCTCGGCCCTCAAAAACATTTTGTGCTCACCGCCCGTGCTTCACATCGCAGATCCACACCGTCCGTTCGAGCTCGTCACTGACGC